AATATATGAATGCATTTATGTACTTTCTGAAAGCTCAAAGCTCAAGGTCATTTATAATTAATGCAAAATAACCAACAAATAACACAAACAATAAAATCAATATGCCATCTGGATTGCCATGTGCAGGCAATGTGAAAAGGTCATGTGACAATAATGTAGCATACTGTATTGCAAGCATTTACCAAGAAAAAAAAAAAAACTCCTTTCACTTCTATTTTTAATAAAGCATACAGACAAGCAGGATAGCCCAGAATATGAACGTAACCCGGTAAATTGAATTGCACTTTAAGAGTATCCCTCATAGAAAGAAAATGCTTAATTAATGGACTAAGATAGTGGTATAAAAAGGCCAAATTCGGTATACAGTTTATTAATAAATTATACATGAAAGTAGGTAAGAACAGAAGCATTTTCCTCCCATAAAGAAAATGCGGTAAAATAACGGTCGCCTAAAAAAACTCACGCTGGGGGCTCAGCTAGAATATTTTAAACTAAAGGGCGAAAGGGTTAATATAATAAATAAAGCAATAAATGATGGCAAAACGAAGTTATACTTGTAGATTCAAAACTAAAATCGCCAGTAGGTGGCGGCAAGTCACTGTCTAATGAGCAAGGCGAAGCATTCATTCATTCAGTAACTAAGCAAATGGTTGTAGTTATGAAAGGGCTATTAATCAGTTCCGATTATCAGTACTCTCCGAATCATTCAAAGCTGCAGATTCATTCACCAACAATTTCGTTGGAACTATTATTTCCTTGTAAATTATAACAAACAAGATTGACAATATTGTGTTTAAAATGTAGGCTACATTTAAAATGTAAAATGTACACTTAATATTGCCTTTTTTGTTGAACTGTTATATAAAATCAATGTCACATTTGCAGTCTTTTGGATATTCAGGGAAAATTGCATTCTCGTAGGTTTCAGAGCGAAATAAGAACGTAACAGTGCTCGCTTTATAAAATTTCTAATAATCTTTTATATGATTTAATCTTCAAACTGCTAGCACTTTGCAATCTCGAATTATGCCCTATTGTAAGTGACGGAGTATTTTATGTTTCAGCGATTTGATCGCGCCGGCGCCTCATGCGCACATATATTCATGCAAACGGCCTGTTCATTATTAAAATAAAACACAGAATCACCAATACAGATCAAATGTTACACAGTCAATTTAAATAATCTGTATTGTAGTCTGTGCCGTACAGCGTGAGCTATTTGGATTTGTGCTGAATGAGAGCGGTACGTGAGCCCATACTTTCGGTTTCACTTTAAATTATGTTTTGGCTTCTTTATAGCTATTCTGGGCTTGTCTGCTTTCCTGTGCATATTATGCAATATACCTATTATACCTATACCTAATATACCTATATTATAGCCTATACCGTCTTCGTCCATTAGCCTCCCTTAAGCGTTTTCTATAGCCAAACGGGTTTAAATGGGGGAGAAACGTTGCATTTTGGCTATCTGCTTTACTGATAGTAATGCTATTAATGAGGTCATTAATATTACAATTGTTATTAGTATTAATAATATTTATTAGGCCTAATACCGAATTGGGCCTCCAGTGTCACTGTTATAGTAGCCTACATTAAGCCACATTAAGTGTTTTAGAATGTCCCAAAACCGTGCCTTAAACTATAAGCAAAGCTGACTGTATTTGAACTTGAGTCCAAGTTTAAAATAAAACTCTATGAACTGCTCCATTATGAACGTACGAGCTGTATGAACCACTAACTTACAAGCTGTAAACAGGAAGTGTTTGTCCGAAAACTGGTTTTGCGAGGGAACGCAAATATCTTTGCGAGAGAACGCAAAAGTTTTGCGAGAGAACACAAAAAAAAATTTCCTCCCACCCCGAATTTTTTTTCCACCACCGTGTCCCTTTAGGGGCTCCGTAGATTTGTCTTTTTTAGGTTCATTGGTAGTAAATAAATAAAATAAAAATAAATACATTTTTAAAAAGAACAAAGAAATGCGATGACACAAGTTATACTTGTCAGAGCAGGGTCTAGAAGCTTTCTTCAGTATAGGCATTGGTTTCAGCAATCTATGCCTGCAAGAGAATTGGGCTACGTCCACACGAAGCCAGAGCTTTCCCTATCCGATCTTTTTTTCCCCCTCATCTCAAGAAATATCTGCGTCCACACAAAACCACGAAACTGACACAAAACAATGTAGTATACATGCCAGACCAGTATGTGGCGCTGTAATTCTGCCACAGTGACACACTAAAAATGGAGAAGATGACTTGGACTATGCGCATAAACCTTTCGGCCGGTATACAAACGAACATGGAACAATACATTTATTAATCTGTGTTAATGTTAGTTAATAAAAAGACAACTGTTCAGTGTTTGTTCATGTTTTTGTTGCTGTTACGTGACGTAGCGGTGTCTGGCGTCTCCGTGTGGACGGGGCCTTAGTTGTTTATTGCATAAATATTAAGTATGTCCTGGATGGCGCAAAACAGTGGTTTTTAAAAATCGGAGAAAGGATAGAAGACCTATGCAAACCAGTGTGCTTCCTAAATTGAGTCCATATCTTAACTGAGTGGGATACTACTAAATTTGAACTAAAATTGGCAGGTAAAGGTAATTGAGAGAATATAACAGAGTTCAGAGAGAGGCGCGCTGAGGACTGTTCTAGGTAAGCCCAACAAGGGAGTTCAGAATTTATATTGTTCCTCCAATATAACATTTTTTGGATATTGCAAGCCCAATAATAGTGTAAAAAATTTGGGAGTTCCAATTTTAGGGAGCTGCAAACTTGTTTTCTTAATTCGAACTGGCCTATTTCCCCATAAAAAAATAAGTGATACGTTTGTCCAAATCCATAAAACACTTTTTCTTAAGGTAAATTGGAATATGTTGAAATAAGTACAAAAACTTGGGAAGAACAGTCATCTTGATTAGGCTTATACACCCAGCAAGAGAAAAAGGGAGGTTAGCCCAGCGTTCCATGTCAGATTCACAATTTTTAATTGGGTTAAACAAATCAATTTTGCTTGGTTGGAACAGCAGCTACGCTAACTATGTCTCTATTTGTTTCTCTGTTTTTGCCACGGGATGCGTCTTTTCAGCCAGGCTTTTGGCTGCTATATTTTTTTATGAACCACCAGATGGCGCTGTTTTCGAGACGCTCGAAGCTTTGCATCTTTTCCCGAAACAGTCAGAGGAAAGCCTCAGTGCTTCACGAGGCTTCATTTGCCCATCCCTACCCCCTACATATTTCATTGTGCGTGACATGATTTACATACAGCGTGTCTTCTCCAGGTCGTGCTCAGGTTGTTCATAAAAGCCGAAATGTGGCCAGATGTCGGCTTTTAAAGTATTTGGAGCATTTTTAATTACTCGCACTCGCCTCCCTCAGCCATTAGGCATGTTCGATTTGAAGCAGCGCTGCGCTGGATGAGTGTATGACATCAACCGCGAAAGCATAAGTCTGCTCTCTTATCGCTCTCGCAGTACTTGGTCATACACTGATCATTCTGCGCATCGGCGCTTCAAGCCAAACGCGCCTAATGTACGCTACCGCAACAAAGAACGTATGCGACAAATGACGTCAGAAAAGCGTCAGTACGTTATAATCGGTTATGGTCCATTACTGAACCGATACCGAATCGTCCTCGTCTGCATCGCGATGCATCGAAGAAACTTTTAATTTTGACACCCCTAATGTGCATGGTTGAATTTATTCGGTAAATGTGTTTAAAAAGTTTATTCTACTCAATTGTGTGCATACGTTTTTATGTGCATTTTTAGAATTTATGCGCATCTTGGCGTTTCCATCCAGCGGTTTTTTATGTGATATTCCAAAATGCGCATAAAAATAGATAGATGGAAGATAGTGATATGTGCCTGTAAAGCGGCATTAGTTACATTCAGTGGCGGCTCGTCGGGGGAGGCAGGGGAGGCACAGCCTCCCCATAATTTTGAGGTGAAAATGGGAGGAGGACGATTTAATGTTAATAAAATTCACAATTCATTTCAGTTCATGTCTCAGAATGTGTATTTTTTGTTTGTAATTTCACAGTTGTAATATCGTAACATGAAAGCGCCGCTTTTCTAACGCGAATGTGCTGATGTAATTGCAACCGCTAATGATAGAGAAGGGGAGGGGGAGGCCGAGCGAGCGCTGAGCTCTCGTGCCTCCGTTGGTAAAAAAAATTAGCCAATCGCAGGGATCCCAGACCAATACAATTAGTGTGCCTCCTCTATTTTAAAACCCACGAGCCGCCACTGGTTACATTTACATAAGTACACAATTTGGAACAAATTACTGGTTTTATTATTAGTATTTTACCAATATTCAAAATATTCAAAAGTTTACAAAACGACATTGAAGATTTTTGTACCTCTATTGGTAGGGAGTTGAAGGCAGTGACGAAGTGATCTGCAGCAGTTGAGATGCCCACTAAAGCAGCTGTCTTCTCTGGCCGTGCAAGAGCAGCTAGCAACATCAGCCACCCACCCATGCTGGAGCCCACCAGAATCTTGAGCACGAAAGAGAAACTCAATTTAAGTAAAAAGGGGAAAAATAAAAATAAAAAGGTCCTTTAACAAACACTTGTCAGAACCTTTCTATAGTGGAAAAACAGCAATGTGAACATGGGATACTGGTCATATCAGTCCTGTGCTATGGACAGTTGATCTAAAATAAAGGCAAACATGTCATTTTCTATCAGATATAAAGTTTAGACATTCCCCCGATTACTCATGCTGAAATAGGGACAAAAATGACAAAATAAACATGGAATCTGACTGCTTCCTGTAGACATCATCTCATGGCAAAATAAGTCTAGGCTAGAGTTGATTTTACTTTGCTTATGTATATCATTTGATTAATTTGTATTCAATTAATTGAAGGGATATTTGTGTAAAACAATATTAGGTAAAATTTAATTTTTCAATTTAAAGTAAAATTCTATTTGTCCAGACTATCCAGTGTTGTCATGCTGTTAATCCACTCACCTGTGGCCCCTCTACTAGTTCATCCAGTACATACAGGACGTCTTTCTTCCAGGCACCAATGCTGTAGTTACCCATTTCCCCTTCAGATGACCCACAGCCAGAATAGTCAAACCTAGAGGAAGTACATTTATCACAACAGCAAGAGAGTTAAAATGTCAAGAAGATACTAGTAGCTATTATACAGAATTCATCTGTATACTGTATTCATTCAATCGCATCTTGGCATTTCCATCCAGCGTTTTTTTAATGCGATATTCCAAAATGTGCATAAAAATAGGTGGATGGAAACATAGCTACTGTACACTGATTATAGTGACACTGTAATAATTTCATACATTTTATTTCCACTTCTGGTCCACCGGGATGCAATTCCCATTCCTGACAATAAATGGTTATGTAAGTTTTTCTACCAATATTTAAAGGGGTGGTTGATTTTTGACTTTTTTCCGAAGGCTTGATTGTGTTTATGGGGAGCAGTGTAACGTGTTCATGTTTCATTTAAAAATAAATAAATAAATGCATTATTTTCACATATTTTACATTTATTCTATACCGTTTCTGTTCTCATCAAAATGGTCTGTTGAGTACCTGGTTCAATGAAGCCCCTCCCTCAGAAATACGCAGTCGGGCTCAGATTGGTTAGCTTGTCCTTTGTGTTGTGATTCGCCAAACGGCCTAGTGCATGTTGTCTGGAAATGTCATGCCCCCTTACCATTACGGATAGTTGCATGCTCCCAGGGGCAGTATTTATGTAAACATCGGGGTTAGTGATGTCACAAACCCAGGAAGAAGCTCAATGTAGTCCCTACCAGCCTTTTTTGTAGTCCTTAAACTGCGATTTCTCTAAAAGAAAATATCTCACTTTGCATTGAACTTTGAGTGTTGTAACTTTGCAGACATTGTTTATGCTCTAACAGCAACAATACACACTAACTAAAGTTAAAAAAGGGAAATCATAATCAACCACCCCTTTAAAAAAAATGTGTTACAGATTCAGTCTTAGGGTCAGTAAGTGAATTAATATTGTAATTTTTGTCATAATACAGTGCCACCCACTAATATTGGCACCCTTGGTAAATATAAGCAAAGGCGGCTATGAAAATAAATCTGCATCATTTATCTTTTTGATCTTTCATTCAAAAAATTCACAAAATTCTAAACTTTCATTGAAGTAAAACAATTGAAAGTGGGGGGAAACTCACATTATGAAATAAATGTTTTTCTCCAATGCATGTTGGCTACCATTATTGGCACTAGTGGTCGACCGATATATCGCCAAGGCCGATATATTGGCATTTTTTAAATATCGGCATCGGCCGGTAAGTTTTCCTGTTTGGCCGATGCATTCTAGGCGGGACTTTTATTTTGGCAGCGCCTGAGCACACAGTGCTTACATTCTCCCTCTTATTCGCTGTTGTCGTTCAGTTCTGTCTAATATGGATTATCTAATACGTCTGTCTAATAATCAGATAGAACGGTTTAACAAAGGAATTAGAAAGTATACAAAAAGTATTATAATGATTGCTTTTATATTATTAGTAATAGATAGTAATTTCTATACATAGTATTAGTAATTTCTTGTTTGCCGTCAGCATTCAGCAAATGCATATTTATATCATTTAAACAAATCTTTGAATGTCTAATGCACATCTAATTTCAAAAACCTTGCAAACTTAGTCGAATCCAGCTGTGAGATCTTGTGAAGTGTGCATTTGTATCCTGCATGATTGCGTGTTCTCTGCGTGACGGTCGATCCGTGCGAATGGAATGCGGACAGAAAGAGAGTTCAGCTTCACTGGAGACGCGCGATGACAAACTTTAAAGGGGTCATAGGATGCTACATGCACTTTTACAAGTTGCTTGAACTGAAATGTGTGTTGGCAGTGTGTGTACACAACCACCCTATAATGATAAAAATCCACCCAGTGTTTTTTTTTTAAATCTGGTTAAATGTTTTCCCCAGATCTCAGATGCCTGTCTGTGTGACGTCACACAGACAGGCCCCTCCCACGATAGTTGATTGACAGTAGC